CAGCATTTTGTTAAGTCTGGATGCTTCTGTCAAGTTGGTTTCAGTTTCGCTTTGGTGCTGAGAGCTAACCATGCATGTCGCATATTTGATCACATTATAAGTGTTTTTACTTATGACTAGGGCCAGACGGAATCTGCGGATGTTTTTTGCTATTTCTGCTGAGAATTTTGGTAAAAGTCTGCGGATTTCTGCGGAATTATTTTGGGAGTATCATAACTAAAACCTTAATATAAGAAATAAAAAATAATATCTTTTAAACTTTTATTTAATGTTTAAAATGCAAATCCAATTAGATGCACTTTATTTGGTAAATAAAGCAAGTTTGTCATATGATATATCAAGTAAAAGGCAGAAAATTTCACTGTACAAACTGAATTGTACATAAATCAGATGAACATTTTCAAATTAGTCAATAATATTACTGTAATTAGATTAAAAAAACTGAATAAATATAGATTTACACACATTTACTCAAGTAAATAAACAGAATTAATTATGGGTTAAAAATTTGCTGTAAATCTGCGGAATTCTGCGCACGCAGATTCCAGGTGGGCCTACTTATGACGGCGTTTTTTGATGGCGTTGCTCATGTTTAAAGGTGGTTGCTTGCTTTCATGTTTTGTTTTAAGGGCACACATCTTGAGTTCTCGTCCTGTTTGGTGTGAGTACATGACTTTTGTTTTTGTTTCTTTGTTCCATGTGTTCTGTCTTGTGTCTAGCCTCACCTTCCATGTTATCCCATTATTACAAGGGCGTAGAATTGGCATGGACGGAGGGGACATGTCCCCACCAATACCCACCAATTACTGAAATCTCCCTACCAAGAATTGAATCCACTTCAAAATAAAAGAATGCTCCATCAACCCTTAGTAACACACACATGCACAAAGTCAAGTTCGCTATGAGTTCACCATAATACTACTAACTAAAGCTGTGCAATTAATCGAAATTCGATTTACTGTAGATTTTGGCCTCCATGGCGTCACACACCTCTCTAAGTTTCTACATTTATACTTCCACAAAGCCTGAGTGCAATTAAATCATGTAAATTGACTTTTGCAGCATGGGGCATGAGTGTTATTTGTATTGTTAAGTGTTTTTATATATATATTATTAAGTACTTATTTATGTTTTTAAAAGCGCGAAGCAGAAATTGTGCTGTTCAATGTATGCACTCTAAGGATGTATGTCACTCAAGGTGTCAAGTGCAAATCTACACCTTTTTTATTATTAGTATAATCAGTTCACCTATTTGTCTCTTAATTTTGTTCTTAAAGCAGTTCTTTTTCCTCTGTGATGTCTTGCCTTGTTTTGTTTTCCCCCTCTGTGTTTTTTTTTTTTTTTTTTGCTTTCTATTTTCAGTTTCAATTAAATAAATAAACGCCCATTCTGTTCTTGTCCTTCCCACGTCCTGACCCTGACATGGTAGTTTTAAAGGGATAGTTTAACTGAAAATGACATTAGCTGTTAATTTACCCACCTTCAGGCCATGCAAGATCATCCACTAACTCACCTAAATCCATATGGCCTAATTATCCAGTGAGTAAAAAAACTACAAATTTTTATTTTTAGGTGAGCTGTCCCATTTAAATAAAGCATTTACAAGTATTGTATCTCTGTAATGTTTGTTCTTCTCCAAAACAAATGCTGTAAAAACAGTCAGGACTAAACAAACTTATGTAAAAGGACAACATTAAGAAACCCTTGTTGTTAGTGACACTGGTGTCTGTTGAGTGAACTGCAGTCAGTAATGTATTGCCTTTGCTTGCACATGTACACGTGTTACTTACAACAGACAGAATGTGCCTGAATTGCTGACAATACACACATTGCATTTGTTTTTAATTTGTTTTATTTTTTAATTAGAAGTTAACAGAAGTAGAATCTCCTTTGCAAGAGAATAACTATAAAAAACATCCAGATGCCATCCACCCTGCTGAGAATGATGTTGTGATGAATATGTAAATACGTGCTAATTACAATGACACTGTTATGCAGTTGTGGGCAGTAAATATGCTGTAAAAGGTCAAGCTAGTTAAGTCTGTATGAAATTCTCGAATGCTGACATGCCAGTGTTTGTGTATAATTGTAGCATTCTTTAAGTACTTTCAATACACACTGGAAAAAGTCATGTATGGAAAAAATCGTCAATTTGTATTTTTTTATAAGTAAAATGGAATAAGAGTATGTAATAGTTTACTAAAGTAATATTTGATTACAACATGTGTACTTTTACTCAATAACTGATGTTAATAAGAGACATAAAGGGATTGCTTAAAGTATTTTAAATCCATGATGCAGAGGCAAAGAACCACCTGTATGCAACATGCACTTAATGTCTTTTAATGCAAAGCAAGTCATTACCCCACTTGTTCTGTGGTCATTTACAAAGTTATAGACAATTAAAACTAGTTCTGCTGTTGCGCTCTGCTTAGCGCAATATTCATTCATTTATTTTTTGTCAGTTATGACATTAGATCTCCTAGACCCTGCTTTTAATCATTCAAAGGCAAACAGAGAGAGATTGTGTGTGTGCTTGTAAATAACACTGTTATCCTGTTGAAGTCAGAATTATTAGCCCCCTGTTTATTTTTTCCCCAATTCCTGTTTAACGAAATAAAGATTTTTTTCAACATTTTTAAACATAATTATAATAGAGTTTTATTATAATTATATATAGTTTTAATAACTCATTTTTAATAACTGATTTATTTTATCTTTGCCATGATGACAGTAAATAATATTTTACTAGATATTTTTCAAGACACTTCTATATAGCTTAAAGTGACATTTAAAGGCTTAACTAGGTTAATTGGGTTAACTAGGCAGGTTAGGGTAGTTAGGCAAGTTATTGTATAATGATGGTTTGTTCTGTAGACTATCGAAAAAATATTAAAGGGGCTAATAATTTTGTCCTTATCATTGTTTTCAAAAAATGAAAAACTGCTTTTATTTTAGCCAAAATAAAATAAATAAGACTTTGTTCAGAAGAAAAAATATTATCAGACATACTGTGAAAATTTTCTTGCGCTTTTAAACATAATTTTGGAAATTTTAAAAAAGAAAAAAATTAAAAGGGGGGCTAATAATTATGACTTCAGCTGTATCTAATAGCTCATAGTTTCAGCTGTCGATTGCATTCTATCTGCTCCCTGGCGAAACACAATTCGAACTGTGATTAAAGCTGACTGGAACTACTTGTGCATTAAACAATACTATTGTATACCTTCCAGACAATCAGAATCAAAAATCTCCTTGTAATAATGACACTATTGACTTTACTCTTCAATACGAAGACGCCCTTGTTTTGGCGATTGTTTTAGAACTTCCCATTCAGTCGCATATGGGAGAAATGACTAGGACTAATAAACAACAGAAAACCGTCAAACCACTTTCTTTACAAACAAATGTTTGCATGACTATACAGACAAAGCAGCATAATATAACAAGAAAATATCAGTTTGCAACATCAAGCAGCAGAACAAATTGCTTTTAACATGTAAAAATGAATGGAAGTGAATGAGACCGGAAGTCTTGAGCCAAACAATTTAAATGGCTGGGCCCGCTCGTACTTGAAGAATAAGGTGAAAAAAATTGTATAGATATGACTTTGTGGGAGTACATTTTTTTTTTGCATGATACGTTGGCATTATCTTTCTCCATCTTGAACGTTATAATAATTGATTTCACATGTCATAGAATGGATGAAAAAATGTAAATGTCACGCGCTGTTGCTTTTCCAAACCAATAAAAAGCCCAGAGTCATTCATATGAAAACAAGTTATAGTCTGACACAGACAATCTATGAAGTCCATGACGGTTTTGTTTTAAGTGTTGTTACTTGTTGTTCCCATATTGGCACTAAAGTGACGTAGCCTTTGTTTGTAAACATTTTTGTTCATAAATCTAATTGAGAATTATTTTTGTAATCATTTATATACCAGCGTTACATTAAACATATACTCAGTTCTTCCAAAAGGAACAGCCTTCATCGTGACATCTGTAATGCGCCATTTGCTCTTCTTCACCCAGCATGCAATGCACTGATGTATAGAATCCACAGATGGTGGCAGATGATATTTAACAGTAACCCAGCTGAGCCCAAACCCCAAAATAAGCCCACAATCTGTCTTCTGACATTTTTTTTTTAGAGTTGTATGTAAATAAGAAATTTACATTGTTCTCCCCCCTTCTCAAACCCACCCATCCGGATTCCAAGAAAACAGATTAACCGGACCCAGTGGCTGCGGTGGCTAGAAGGCTAATGAGGTCACATCTATAGGGGCTTAAGGAGATGCTCTTCAGATCTTTGCTCGTTCCTCCGCATCTGTGCCGGTTAATGGCATTCCTCCCATCCATCCGTTCAATCAGCGCATACCTGTGTCCCTCAGTGCGCTCAGCAATCTCAAGTGTGTCTGATTGGGTGACATTTGCATGAAAGCAGGATGAACACATTCTCAGAATCCACAAGACGGGATTTGACACATCAGTTTGGCATTTTTCTATTTGTTTTTCCTCCTTGGAATTCAGAAAGTGTTGTTTTGAGTATTTTGCTGCGATTGATGAGAGAATATGGATCCTGGTTTCATTCCTGGTGAGCTGCAGAATTAGATTTGACGTTAAGCTCATGTTTACCATTCTTCAAAGTGTTGCATTTTTTGTTTGTGAAAATTCAGATGAATGAATGAAATGCACACATGGGGTACTTACATGAATTCTTCAGATTAGCTCCACAAGCCAGCTAGAAATGATATGGACTAACTAATGTGAATGTTTCGAATATCAGCAGCAAGTTATTTAAAGTTTTGCTGGTAGGAAAAATGAGCAGCACTGTGCTTCACTGTGATGGTGACTTAAAATAGTTTCTCTTGTCTGGGCTTTGTAATGTCTTTTAAAATGTCTGCCATTGAAGGTGTAAGCGGGTTTTCTTTGAATATACAGTAATCCAGTTAGTTTATGTATATGCTACTTTATGCTTTTCTCTGTCTCTTTTATTATAGGATATACTTGGCAGGATGACATAACTCAGCAGGTAATCTCAAAAGAGCTCTCACAACTTCCCAGGGTTTCTCTTGGAGGATTTGCAAACACCTTTCCTCATTTCAATGACAATTCCCGGTAAGATCTTAAGTCCTGTCTTGTGTTCATGACAATAATGTGTTAATGGAAACTTGTGTTGTAGTTGGTCATGTTCTGCTATGAACAACCCAGGCTCATTGTGGAAATGTAGGCCCGCGGACGTTTCTGGAGACAGCGAAATACGTCTCGGGAGGTATGTATTCGAGCAGTTTTTTGTTTTCACGTATTCGCGAGAGGCCACTGTGCGCGCTTTTTCGCGTCTCGAACGCCTCTCGGGAACAAGCACTGTTCGCGCCCGCACTGTTTTTGTGTGAAAAGCTGCCGAAGGCCGCTGTAGAGCGACCGTCCGTCCGACTGACAGGCTGAATGACTGAACGATCAACTGGGCGGCCGGGCGGCCAATCGGCCGACTCAGCCACCCTCCTCCTCCTCCTTCCCTAAACCCAAGCGACGATTTGCAAAAGTCGTCCAGAAAAAAAAGCAAAAGCTCTCGTCCGATTTTGACAGCGTTTTCGGAAATTGCCCCGTCGCGAACTCGTTCGCTTTTATTTTTTGAATTCTGTTTTTCATCTTACCTGATTTCTGGAACCGCTCTTCCCAGGACTCGATCCCGGTCGTTGCTGTTTCCGGCTCCTCCTCCTCCGGGCTTTCGCTTCACCGACATAACGCTGCGAGCTAAGCGGAAAAACTGGTTGCAGCGAGAAAGCCCTCCACATGGAGGTGAGCCGTCAGCCGGCGAGTGCGAACAGGAGGAGCGGCGTCATACCACGCCACGTATATTGCGGTCTCCAGAAACGTCCGCAGGGCTACGTTTTCAGAATGAGCTTGGGATGGTTATGGATTTAGTTTCGGAATTTAAGTGTTTTTGATGTTTAAGTGTTATATGATGCTTAAGCTCAAATTTGTAGTTGTCTAAAAATGTGTACACTTGTTTAATGATCTTTATAAATAAAGCAATTGTTAAACAATGCTTTATGAATTTATAAATGTGACACTGGAACACCAAACCAGCAGTGGTGTAAAGTAACAAACTACAAATACTAAAACTACTGTAATTGAGTGATTTTCAGGAATTGTAATTTACTAAGTGGTTTTAAAAATGTGGACTTGTACTTTCCCTTGAGTACATTTTCAGTGCTGTATCTGTACTTTTAAGCCACTACCTTCCTTCAACCTGCAGTCACTACTTTGTTTTTTCTTGTCAATGGGGATTAGAAAAATCAGTCCTGTGATTCCTGTCCAATCAAATCACACATAGAGAGTAAATCACATCATAATAAACTACCTCAAGACATAGTTACTTTATAATTGCAGCAAACTGTTGGAAGCATTAAAAGTGTCTAAGACGATGTCCAAAATCTTCACACGCATTGGCCCAGAGACTGTTTATTTGCATGTCACTGGTGAGAAGATCACAGATGTGATGATCAAAATGACCCTAAACACTCAGCAGGCACATGACATCAAAAATCAGGTTGACATCAGTACCCAATGTCAGGTTGACGTCAATGTCCTAGGGCAAACCTAAAATCAACCAAAAATCAACGTCTAATGATGTTACAGCTTCACCTTGTGTGAACGTTTCCACTATGGCGTTTCTCAGATGTTGGATTTTGGTTGGCATACCTGACGAACAAATGTCAGTATTTGACGTCAAGATGATGCTAGTTTAAGATGTTGGCTTGTTTATAACACAACCTAAAATCAACCAAATATTAACGTCATTTGATGTTGTTTTTGGAAATCAAAATAACATTTTTCTTAGATGCTGGCTAGACATTGAATTTTAGTCACCTGACATCACAACCATCTAACCTAATATTAACGTCTTATGATGTTGTGTGCCTGCTGGTGGGCAATAACTAGATGCACTACAGAATATTACGTTTACACATATCCACAAATTACATGTAAATGCATCAGCTTTTTACAGCATAATACTCACTACTTATGAGTACTTTCGAAAGGGCTACTTTTTACTCATACTTTGAGTAATATTTACAACAGATACTTTTATTCTACTTGCACTACAGTTTTAGGCAAGTAATTCAAGTCTTCATTTTTAAATAAAACAATCTGATGCTTCAAGGAAAATGTAAATATTATTTAGCAATGCATATTACTAACAGAAATTGGGTAAAATCTATAATTTAAGACCAAACAATGTGTTTCCAAAATAAATCTTTGCAACATACTGTAAGATTGGCTTGGTGGTCCAAAGTCACAGGTATATTTAAAAAAAAATTTCAATTACAAACTTAATAACACCTAATTTGTCAAACTTTCAACCCCAAAGGTTAAAGCAGATCATGGGCAATACAATTAAAAATATAAATAAATGGAAAATATCCAAAACAACCATAGCAAAATATGAGAAGCCATAAATTATCATACTTTTGTACAGTGTTCTTTAAAGGCATTGTTCGTTAATAGCTACTGCACTACCTTATTATAAAGCAATAGTCTTGTTTTCTTTTCTACAATCTGTGTATCTATTTCTAAACGTGGAATTGTATTTTAAACATTCCCAATGGGTGCAGGAAGCTGAAGGCTCAGAAAGAAGCAGCGAGCAGGACATTGCAAAGGTTCCTTCAAGGTTTCCTGCCTTCTGATGTTTCCTCCTTCAAACAGAGTCCTCAAGGGCGAAGAGAGTTTTGGAAGGTAAATAATCTTCAGCAACATCTATGAATTCTGCTAGATGCTTACACTTGAAATATTTATACATACAGTACATAACATAAAAACAATGTATTATCTGTCAGTGTGTGAGCCTTTATTTGGTTTGGGTTAATAACTAGATGAACAACAAAGCATGATATATGATAAAAGTATATAAGAAAAAAGTAGAGTATTAAAATTATGACAGTACAAACTGAATTTTTTGTTTAACTAAGCTAGAAGTGAATAAAATATCTTGCACATCCAATTTACTACTTAATATATATATATATATATATATATATATATATATATATATATATATATATTTCAGTCAGCACCAATAGCGTAGTGGTTAAGTGTGCATATTTCACTGTAAATTACAAAATACAGGCTTTAAAAAGTAACCAGTAATAAGTAAATATTTTGTCAGATTACACAGAAAATAGGGTGACAGTTACTGTGTGGTTAGTACTGCTGCAAGGCTGTGTCAGTTGGCATTTCTGTGTGGAGTTTGCATACTTAAGCTATAGACATAACACTAATGAAAGGCATTCTGTTATGTTCATTTCTCAAATCCAAGCTTCAAAACTAAATCAAATATGCCAAGCTTATCATAAAAGTAGCCAAAGCAACTGGTCCAGTTCACCAAGTTGTACAATATATTTGTTTTAATAAATGGACCAAACTTTAAGTGAATTCTATAAAAATTCTGTGTTATTTCCTCTTTAAAAATTCTTCCGAAATACGCAATGATAACTACTCATCAAAGAAAACTGATCAAACTGAAAAAACAAAAGTTATTGGATAATTTTTTTTTTCAAAAATCAAGAACTAACTCATGCTTTTTTAGATCAGATATTAATGTTGTGTCTTTTTTATTAGATTTTTAAGTAAATATTTTTTGTACTTCCATGAGAGAAGTGTATTCTAGGAATGGATTTCTGAGTCGAGATGATAATTTGTTAAATAAACAGATTGCGTATTTTTCAATCATTCATTAATTTTCTTTTCGGCTTTTCGGTCCCTTTATTATTCTGGGGTCGCCACAGCGGAATGAACCGCCAACTTAACCAGCATATGTTTTACGCAACGGATGCCCTTCCAGCCGCAACCCATCACTGGGAAACATCCATGCACACTCATTCACACACATACACTACAGACAATTTAGCTTACTCAGTTCTCCTATACCGCATGTCTTTGGACTTGTGGGGGAAATCGGAGCACCTGGAGGAAACCATGTAACAAGATCATGTTTTTTAAAATACAAAATATAAGTTACATTATTTCATTAAAATTACATTTTAAATTATAGTAATCAGATTACAGTTACGTGAAAAGTGTTTAAACTACCAAAATTATCACGTAGAATTTTAATTGTCATTTCTTCATTTTAGATTTATGTAAATATGGGGATTTAAACAAATAAGGAAACTGGATCTCCATAAAAATTTTAAAAAATGTGCAAAGCCATCACAGTGGCGCATTGGATAGCACGATCGCTTCACAGCAAGAAGGTCACTAGTTTGAGCCTCGGCTGGGTTAGTTGGCATTTCTGTGTGGAGATTGCATGTTCTCCCTGTGTTGGCATGGTTTTCCATTACAGCCCTGCCCTGCAAGTGGCCGCTCTTGTTCTCATGGATAAAAGAATAACTACAAACAATAATTTTAATAGTAATAATTAAATACATAAAAATATAATAAGTGAACTACATTGCTTCTTTGATTTTTTGAAATGGTTTTCCTTTAGCTAAGCAATGAAAACAATTAGATGGTACATATATACATTGTTATTGTGTTATGATTGTATTATAACATATACACATGGTTATAGACGGTACATGTATACTTTGTAAATAGTACAGGTGATAAATATATTTTTTGTTAGCTGTGATTTTTCTACTCTGACTTGCACTTAATACTTCAGATAAGCACATATCTACTGGGGACATGTAATGTTAGGTAAAACCTGCTTGGTACCAATAAATCACCATCAAACAACAGCTCTTGAAGTTAGCAGTCGTGAGAGTTGAAAAGTTCACCGCACTATTGAACATTAGTTCCCTGCAGTGCTTTTGGATGCAGTGTGTGTGTGCGTGTATGTGCTGGTTTGTTCATCGAAGCCCACCCTGCTGTTCTAAAGTCAGTTTGGCCTTCTATTCTGCCGCGGTGGGAAGAATATAATTGTTTTTTAAAATCTCTCAAAAACAGCTAAACAATATGCAGAGCAAAAAGAGGGAGGCTGATGAGATGGTAAAATGTGGCTAAACTCATAAGTTGTACTCTTTGCGTTTTGATTTGAGATGCATTTAAGAAAAAAAGATTAGTTTTTCAAAAAATGTCTACAAAAAAACCTTTCCAAAATACACTTGAACTACTTTGGTTAAAAAAAATGTTTGCCTTGTGTTCAAGTTCACAATCTGAATAGCTTTTTTGCATATCTATGTATTTTTTTCTCTCTTTGGTTCAAGGAAAATGGACTGCGCAATCATAAGGTTTTTATTCAGCCTCCTTCAGCACAGATCCCCTTCCTACAAGGCCGCCCTGATCTCCAGACAACTGTGGCGCAGCTTCCCTCAGGTCGATCATCCTTCAGTGGGTTTGAACAGGATCGTAGCGGAGTCCCTCTTGCTGAGCTTCAGCAGTATCAAGCTGGGCCCATGAGAGCACAAGATCCTGGTAAAGGTCAAACACAGGGAAAGCTGCATTACTTCAGCCTCCAGCGCACTCCTGCTACCAAAATAGAAAAACTGCCTGGAGCTTCCAGACAACCTCCAAAGCCCCAAATCGAAAAATTGTTGCTCAAATCTTCAGCAAGCAGTCCAGCTCGTAAGGAGGCCCTCAGTACAGTAGATGGTGAGCCATAAAAATCTGATACATATATATGGATTTATAAGATATAATGTGCAGGAGTGTTCAATTTAAAATCATTTTAATGTAATCAATGCAGTCGCAATAATGCAATTTTGACCCAGTGTGACTTGCATTTAGGGGCAAATCATTTATTTTTAATGCGCACTGAGAAAAACTAAGATGAATTCAGGAGGAATGAGGAAACTCAGCTCTCATATTATGTTTAATATTTCAGCTTGTTTTCTTATTTTATGTTAATAAGGAGAAACAAGTTTGAAAATTATTTTGGCTGTGCTGCAGAGTTTTTGCATAATTATACATGTAAAGCATTCAGAGCCCCTAAAGGGGCCTTTGCAGAAATACTGTATCCTCTTTTAGTTTGTCAAATGAATCTTGAAGAATGACCTCAAAACATTAACACATTATTTTTCCTTGTTACTACTCTATGAAAATGTTAATTGTAGCAATAACTTAAATGAATCGCATCTATAGCTAAGTTAAAACCTTGTGCTTATGCTATGGGTGCCTTGCACAGTATGCATCTGAAAATTTCTTATGAGAATGCAAAAATGTGCACATGAAAGTTTGTTGTGAGCATGGAAACCTTTTTACAAAGGTCTCTTTAGGGGAGTCCAATCATTAAAATCACCACGATAATGTATTTCCCAAAAATTAAAAAACTGAATTGGTGTAAGTCAGAGAGAGACTGAAACACAGTCTCCTGACTCGGTTTGGGTTTTAAAGGTTAAGCTTTAAATGAGTTCAAATCCTATTTTAATGCTAGAACTTTCTCAGTCAGTGTTGATATGAGTTCATTCACTAATTTAGTTTTGACCCTTGGAATTCCCCAAGGATCTATTCATGCCCCTTTTTGTTTTCTTTATAAATGGTCTCACTGGGTTTAATTTTTATAAACACAGAGACTCGATTCACTTTTTCTAAATTTGTGATGCATTTATTTTATCATGACTATGTTTCTGCAATTCAGCTTAATGTATATACAGTACAGTAGGTCTCAGCCGATCCTACTGTATGTGAATCGTCTAGCATACAGCTGCTAGACTGTTAATTACATTTGTAAACGTGTAGATTTTTTATGATGATTTTTTTATATAATCTTTGCTTCCCTCATAGCCAGCCCCAGTCTAATTGGTGCTAAGCATCAATACACTTCGTGTTGCACATTTATTTATTTTTTGTTATTAGTGTAGTTGATATTTGCTGAACACAATAGTACCTTTATAAAATAGAACCTTGCATGCATTTTTTTCATTAGTTTTGTTTATTTTTTGTACTGTATCCAGTTGAGATTAGAAAGCAATTCAAGCCAGTCTTAAAAGTTGTGCAATTGCTCTTTTCTGCATTGCAAAAATGCTGTGTCGACAAAGCCTTGATTCATGCTCTAACTGTAATATAAAATATATATATTAGAGCGGTAATGACAGCTTCATACAGTATATTAATCTGTGCCACAACAGCTACAGATTAAACCACAATAAGCCTGAGCGTAATAATCCTGTTTTATGGATGACAGAGGAATGCAAACAAATGCAATCAGACCAATGAGAACACAGCAATACTAACATGTGATATACCTAAACATATATTGTAGTTCTTTGAAAATTGCCTTGTCAATTCAAACCAATCAAAAAGAAAATGTGTCATTGTAACAAATAATGTCCATTTTGGGAACAAAGTAAACATCTATAATTCTGAAAATGCCTTCAGATTGAATCTGACACCTAATACAGTGCCATATGTTATACGTAGCCTAAACATGGTGTATAATTGCCAGGTCAATGGGGTTTGCTTATACTTTTTCAATGAAACCGTGCAATTTTGATTAGGGTATATCCCGGGTAGTTCTTATACACTTGCGATATGCTTAACATTTTTGTTTGTTTGTTTGTTTGTTTATGTGTATGTTTCTCTCAGAGAAGTTCATTGATGGAGTGGTTAACCAGCTAGGACGTCAGAGCGTCAACGTGGACACTTTGACCCCAAAGGACCTGGACAAACTCTCCAAAGTAATCACACAGGCCCTGCGGGTGGTAGATGGAGAAGAAAAGGTCAAAGGCAGAGACGCCACACAGGGTGAAATAGAGGTAAAGAGGGAACCCAGTCAGGAATTACATCAGATGGAGAAAGCAGAAGATGGCCCAACTCATAAAGGTATCAACCAATTAAAAAACTATTTGATTAGTTCCTGGTTATATATAATACCCCAGTTATGACCCTTATATAGAATGTGATCAGCAATAGCCATGATATTTACCATATGTTTAAATTCTGTTTGCAGTAACTCAAACAGAAGAAACTGCCCATAAATCTGAAGACAAGGTAATGTGTTGAAATGCATAGGCCCGTGAAACTCTCACTCATGAATTCAATAGAATTCCCAGTATCATTTTTTATTTCCAGGACAAAGGTTTTATCAGCCAGCTGCTGGAGTTCCTGGATCGTAACTCTGGCACTGAATCTGCTCATCCTCCCCAAGAGTCTTTTCTGGGGTACATCAACCAGCCAAATGCTGGAAGTCCACTGAGAGCCAGTTTGGAGAATGTCCAAAGCCGGACAACGCAAAGAGAAGTAGACCTGATGAAGAAGAAAATGGAACCTGACACTTTGGATGTTGAGCCAGTAGATGCTGAGGTTGAACAGTGGATGCACAGCTCTGAAGGCTCTCCACAAGTCAAAGCAGAGGCTCAAACAGATAAAGAGCCTCAAAAACAATCCATGGACAAAGAAGAGGTGGAGAAGAAGGGTGTTCGTGTGGAAGTGAACATTGCAACGTATTCAAGTCCACACGACGGAGACTTTGGCTATATTATTACTGAAGAGTAAGTATAAAGAAAAATATTCAGATCACATGTCATTAGCAACAAAATGTTTGCACTTATGTTGTACAAATGGATCTACCGAATGCTTTTTAATGATTTTAAAAGAATTCTCTTTTGCACACAAGGGCTGCATTTGTTTCATCGTATAGATAAACCATAAAATAAAAGTTGTGTATTTAAAGAGCCCATATTATACATGAAATAGGGTCATATCTTGGTTGTAAGGGTCTCCAACAACAGTTTAATATGCATGCAAGGTCAAAAAACACTTTCGTGGTCTTATAATCTGCATTTATTTTTACCTAATTATCCCAGCGACTCCTGTATGAATCGTCCAGTGATTCATTTGTTCCCAAACCCCTCCTTAGCGCGAAGCTAATCTGCGCTGATTGGACCGATGAGTCTGTTGGGATTGGTCGACTGCCTTCAGTCAGAGAGTGAAATGCCAAACAGCTAATCAGCAATATAAAAGTAATCACAGTTCATACACGCTCGATAGTGTAGGCGTGGATTTTAGCTGCCAGTGGGTCAATGTAAATACAGACTATGGACTTGAAAATACAGACAACTAACTATTTTATTGAGCAAAAACTCAAAAACAGTTGAGGAGATCTCCTAGCTTCTCACTCAGCTCTTTTCACAGACACACGCACGCATATTGCACACACACACACACACACACACACACACACACGCGCGCACTGCTCCGGACGACAACGCGCGCGCGCACACAAACACACACACCTCCTGACGACAGCGCGCGCACACGCACACACAGACACACACACTACTCCTCGTCCACGGAGCTCCGTTAACAAAGCAGCACGCATCGCGTTTTTAACGTGACTTTGCACGCGATAAGAGAATATAGCCAGTTAACCTGAGACAGTACACTCGGTTACAAGTAACAAATCACAACTAAATACATTTGCAAGCTAGAGTCAACGAGGCAACTTTAATCGCACGTACTTACACTTGAGAAATGGAGGAAGAAAAATCCATCCTGACGTCCATCAGTAAGTTACTCTTTACTGATCCTTCCTTTAACAAACGCTGATGAAGTATTCTTTGTAGCATGTAGTTTCCAGAAGTTTTCAGTAGTTTCCAACTGCTTGGCTATAATGCTGAGGTTTTATCTTTGGGTAGAGACTCAATATATCCATCTGCAGTGTGACTTCAATTCACCGGCATGTTTGTGTGTGTGTGTGTGTGTGTGTGTCTCTGGGTTTCTGCGTCAGAGGGCGGGGCCTCAGGTTTGAAATCTCCCGGGTTTGCGCGTGCACGTGAATAACTTGGTTTCGTTCGTACGTCATGGCGAAACACCTAATGAATCGGTATCAAGGCGACTCGTTTGAAGCACTATGAGTCGACTCTTTTATAGATGAATCAACCGTTTTAAACACTGTATTCTTACAGATTTAAGCCTTAGCTGGATACTTCACTTCACTTAGAGCTGTGTTACACACTACATGGAGGGGAATTTTCAAAAACCCATAATATGGGCTCTTTAAATATTTATTAAGGGTATCCAAATAAAGTTTTCTGTGCTTCTTGTTCTAGTTTGCTTCTTGTATTTTGGAAGTGCTAGGTTTACTTTTGGATGCATCCAAATGATTAAAGTCAATCCAATTTATATGCTGGCAGCTAAACAGCTCAGTAATGTATTATATAAAAACAACTCTTACTGTTATTTACAGTTTTTTTTTCCTATAAAAACAAAATTCTTTCTTTCTAAAGCTTCTGTAGAGTTTGCCATCCATGCCTTTATTAAATCCCATTCTTACAGTATTTCGAAGACCCAAATTTCTCACTTACAAATAGTTCAAAGTGCAGCAGCCAGATTCCTGAAGGGGTGTAAAAAAATGTCCATCTTACACTGGTTGCCCTTTCTCTATATAATTGAATAAAAATCTCTAAATAATCTAGCACCAGTTTAGTTTACAACCCTCTTTACCTTTATACTCCTATCCCAGGACTATTCTCGAAATAAACTCCTCCTTCAGATTTATGGAATCTGCCTGAAGACGAGAGGCAGGAGAGCTTTTGAAGTGGCTGGCCCCACTTTATTGGATAATCTCCCAGACCACATTAGAATGGGTTACACTTTATTTGTTTAAATCATCTCTCAAAATGCATCTGTTTTGATCTTCTAATATGTAATCTTATCTTTTTTTTTGTTGCAAACTAGTTGTTGGTCTGTTTATCTATATGTTTTAAAATTTCGTGCAGCACTTAGGTTGGTTCTAAAAATAAACGTGAGCTTGAACAATTATTTACAAAATTTTTTACACTACTAGTCAAAAGTTTGGGTCAGTAGGATTTTAAAATGTTTTAAAATAAGCTTTTCCTGCTAACCAAGGCTGCAATTATTTAATCCAAAGTACAATACAAATGGTAAAATTGTGAAATGTCATTGCACTATAAAGTAAATGTTCAAAGGTAGTTTATCATTTAATTTAATAATTTATTCTAGTGATTTTAAAGATGAATTTTCAGCTTCATTACCCCAGTCTTCTGTCACACGATCCTTCAGAAATCACTCTAATATTATTATTATTATTATTATTATTATTATTATTATTATTATTATTAATTTTATTATTATTAATTGTAATAGTAAAAACACAATAATGACTGGAGTAATAATTTACTCCATTTGAAACTACATAAAATAAGCAATAAATAAATATTTAATAAATAAGTATTTAACAATTTTTTAACATTAAATAAATGCCGTCTTGATGAACAGAATAATTTTCTTCACAAACTTTTGATGGGTAGTGTAAGAAAATATATTTTATTTTATATTTTATTATAGTAGTAATCATAGTTAGTGCAGGATTATAGTAAAACTATAAAAAGATGAGCATCAGCATCTCTATCTTGAGATTTAAGCATAGTGCATTTAGACTTTACTTCATTCAATAATTAGATGAAAGCAATGTGATTAAGCCCGTAAGCATATATACCATTATCCTATAAAAAGGGGTTGTGCAGCAATGTATAGGTAAGCTATTTTATTTTTTCAAATATTGCATTTTTCAATGATTGCCTAAAAACAATTTGATCTAAGATAAATAATCTAAATTATGATATCAGTTGTAACTATAGTTTGTAGATTTGTATAATACAAGTTAATAATTAAGAATCATCTGGCATTTATGTGTTTTTTGTGGTATTGCCTAAAATACCATTTGTAATTTTAGTGCATAATTAAGCATTTCACTCTCTGTCACAGTTCAGTGACCATTCTCAGTTTTTTTTTTTTTTTTTTTCATTTCATGTTCTGCAATCTATTCGGGTTGGCTCACCATCCTCTCTGTGTACAGTATTTAGCTATTAGTTTGTGTGTGTTTGTGTGTGTGTGTGTGTGTGTGGGGGGGGGGGGGGTGTTGGTGTACATCTCTCAACAAGAAAGATGATGGTCTACACCAGCACTGCATCTCCAATAACTTGATTCATCTCACAGACACTCTGGATTTTTGGCTCACTTACTGCAGGCCCATTTAACTTGGAGTACCTGAAAGGCATATTCTCCTGAAGGAGATTTAATAGTGTGTAAGTGTATATTGGAAGGGAGTGGTAGGCGTGAAAAGGCACCAGGAATACAGTTGCACTCTGGCGTCTTCTAATTCTCACTTTCTTTCTCATGCATGTGAATACGCTTCCATTTGGATGCATATTGTTCTTTAGGTTTGTGTGTGAGCTGCTTTGTGTGTATTTGCACGTGTCCTGATATGTGTGTGAGTGTGTGTGTTTTTACTCGGGCTGGCGTGGTCATATCATAAAGACATCACACTTCACAGGGATTCCATTTACACCTTATTGTTTGCCTCATTGCTGGAAAATACAGGTGATTTATCAAAGCGTACAAGCCACCTGTGTCCTATTCCCTATGTGTTTTTATGCACTCTCCGCTTTCTGTATTCTTTCATATGCACTGTGTTCAGTTTTGTATCTATCTAGCTCCTCGCTTCATACTGTTTTAAAATGTTCTCGTTTATTGCTTACAGACAGCAAATGATTATTTTATATTCAATACTTATGCAAAAATTTGTACATATTAGTGCAAATAGTTAGACTTCCTATAGCAATAACAATAGATTATGCATACACACATGCAGCTAACACTTATCCTTACACTAACCATTTAGAAAGTTAATGTTATTTAATATTAAATAAGTATTTTAACATATAGAATGCCTGTCAGTGCAGGGAGGGGACAGAGGGTTCTTGACGGCATGCCATTTGCACCGTGATTTGTATTTACTTGCAATAAATGCCCTGGAGGCTGTCAAATCTAATTATTAGTTGAATTACTTCGTTATAATTTACCCGTAAATAAAAAGACCCACATCATAACCTTTCACCTGACAATGACATCATACAGGACATACCCTCACGAATCACACTTACTCCACGATTTGTTCAGTCGCAGTTGTCCATGCCGCGATTAACATTAAGTGCTTTTCTCAGCGGAACTCAGTGTCTCAGTGTCCTTGTTTACTTGTTGTTGTTACTGTTTTACAAAAAACTACACGAAGAAAGCATGTGCATATGCTGTTTGTATTGCTGTGAAAGGTAACAAGAGATGAGAGAAATTAAGCTCTTCAAAGCTTTTAATCAACGGAAGTATTTGCCCTGCAAAATTATTCACTGTATCAAACCGCCACATGCTAGGGACCAAACCAAAGTGCAACAAAGACTGTCTCCTGTTTTACTCCTTTTACTCAATGTAAGATGCTGAAGACATATTTGCTGTCTGTCAAATTGGTGGGCGGGGAAAACCGCACAAGGATCAGATTCACAGGTATTTGAATAACATCAGGAAATTGTAAAAAAAAAGAGAGACTTGCTGTGTTTATATTACTCTAATATGACAGTAGTCACATTATACCTACACGCAGATTTGTCTAAACAGCTTTCAAAAGTTATTTTTGCATGGATGTCCTTTAAATTTAGCCTTTACTTAAGCATTAGATGTTTAATTTAGTATTTAAACATAACATCAGTACATTTTAACATTTTAACATTACATTTTAAGTCTTTGCATAATAGGCATTACTATTACTATTACATTATTTTATGACATTTCTAAAATAATTTTGTTTGATAAAGGAGCTTATGCACAGTTATTTTCATTCAGTTCTATTGCTGAATGTAATCAGATGAACGAGATAAAAAATAATGATTTCGGAAAAAGGATTTAAGTTTCACTTCAAGTATAAATTATGACAATATGAAAAGTAGTGTTTACAATAGTAAAGCCAGGTATTTAAGGTATGGCATTTTGTGTGTGCATTCTTCAAAACAAAGATGCATCATAAAGAGAGAAAGGAAATTTCATATTATTAATTTAATTAATAAATTAATAGTAATATAAAGGTATGGGAATGTTCAATTTCTAATCCTATATTTAACAATATTCTTTAACTTTTAGAGTTTTGCACTTTTAATATTGTCATTTTCTTTTTCAAAACTGGGTCATAGCATTTGATATTGCATTAGTTTGGAAGCATTAATATCAAGGAATCAGCAAGGAATTTGTCCCTGCTGTACTTATGTTTTGAGCATCTGTTGAAATCATTGTTCCATTTCCCCTTTTGTGTACTTAGTGCACCTGCCCCTCCAAAGGTTTCTTTTATAGCTAGTCTATGGTGTCTGCACGGCATGTTAATTTTCTTAAGAAAACATTTAAGGCTACTGACTGTTTCTACGCTGTTTGTTCTGAATGAACAGTCTAACAGGAGTTTTGGGCCCAAGCTTAGTGCAAGTAATGGGACCAGGCTTACCTATATGTAACCCGTAACAAATATGGCAGAAATTTTTTCTTTTCTTTTCTTTTCTTTTCTTTTCTTTTCTTTTCTTTTTCTTTTCTTTTCTTTAGTTTTTTTGTTATTATTATTTTAATGTGTGTTGTTTTAATGTATGTTCTATTTTAATATATGATGTATAGTTACAGTACACTATAACAAGAAGCCCATAGGAAAGAGCAACCTTAAACTATATTTGTCATGTTTTTTCTTGAACAATTATGTACATTTTTTCAATCTCACTTTGAGAGCATCGGCTGTAGCCCTCAACATTAAACCATAATTTGTAATTACACTATAGCCATGAAGCATACATCAAATTGAGCCACAAGATTAAAGGGAAATGTACTTTCTTGAGCTGTAGGGAAATGGATGGGTAAAATATGCTATAGCTGCCCAGTATATCAAAATAAACTCATATTGCAATATGGCTTATTGGGATTGTAAAATTGTCTTCATCATACTTATCCAATGAGTTGAGATTATTATTAAAATTCTGTGCTCAGGTTGTGGTTATTTAAAAATTTGAGTTGGTTCTTGGAAAAATGCAAACCCTCAATGAATCAAAAAATAAACGTTCAACTTTTTTTTCTCGTTTTTTTCTTGAGGTGTGCAGATCAATAATGTTTTTTCATGATAGAAAAGTCATTAGAAAATAAATGTATGTATGTCTTCATTTAAAAGATAAAAAAAGATACAGTTGTGCAGAAAATGAGGCTCTTACCCCATGAAACTGCCATGGAACTTATTGTATATAATCTTTCTAAATAAAGCTCTTCAGGTCTAGTTAAATTCCTATACATGCTAATATCGCTGAATATTTTATCACAGTGTACAGTATCATCATGATGCTTGACAAATTACCATTAGAGGCTAAAAATATGGATAAACATCAGTGTTGTACTGTTAATAACAAGTTTAACGGTTTTCTTTTTCTCTTTTTTTCTTTTACTTTCACACAAAAAAAAAAATGTCAATACTGACATTAAAAACTGCACAAATTACCTGATGATGTCACCTTTATTCTGAGACAAAAAGATGAAGTGTTTTATCAGGGACCATGATGAAAACATTGTGCATATTCATTACCACAATAAAATCTATTATTAAATCCCAGCACTCGTAGGCAATCACTGACAGTAGCAATGCAATGTTAAAACTACACATGATGTTTTTGTAACACCTGGGTAACTGCTTACAAAATTGTAATTTTGCAGTATGTTCTTTTCAACGTTGTGAAGTTGTATAAATCTAGCTTATGATTATTTATTTCCCTTATTTTTTTTTTTATTATAGTTCGCTGTCCACTGATCAGGGGCTGAACCTCATGGAGATCTTAGCTGAGCGAGTCAGGCTTCATGTAACAGATTTCCTACAGCTCTCGTAAGTACACACACACACACACACACACGCACACACACACACACACACACACATTCATCGAAGACGGTCTCATGCTGGTGGACACACTAATGGCACTAATGGAACACTCAACCTGTGGTTTTGTTTTGTTTTTCCAGTATTCCATTTCCATTTCGCAGTATAGTTTGGACTAAGTACTTATTTTCAAGTGACAGCACAGTAATTATGAGTGTGTTTTGAATTCTGTGCATATAAGTTGAAGCTTTATATAAACGGTTCAGAGAGAGTGAATGTGTAGGTGTGTTTTATTGTGACCTGACTGCAGTGGTAAACTTCAGTTCAATTACAGCACATTTCTGATGATAACCGATGTTCTCCGAGTGCATGGTTTAAAGGCAGCTTTCTGCTTAATTGTTTGGAATGCAACAAATGCTTTCTGGCACTTTAGTATTCACAGAGATGCATATCCAGGCCATGTTTCACTTACACAGAGAAAAAACTTGGATTTGTTTCTGAGGATAAATTAAATACAAATATAAATGCAATTAATATATCTGCCCCATACAGGCACGCACGCACGCACAAACACACACACACACACACACACACACACACACACACACACACACACACACACACACACACACACACACACACACACACACACACACTCAATTTATGTTTATTTGATTTACTTTCTTTCATGTAAAGCGAATTAAACACTTTATCACCCAAATCATTCTAACCTTAACTCTAAACTTTATTTATATTTGGTTTTTACAAATGTGAATAACAAATTCAATATTATTCAGATTCAGTTTGCTTCTTTCCACAAAATGGATATACAGACAAAAGTATTTTTGTTGATTATTATTAAACTGTCAATGAATGGTTCAGTAACATTTTTAAAATTAAGATAAATAAAAATATATATATATATATATATATTCAGCAAGAATGTATTAAATCAATCAAAAGTGACATTTACATTCAAGTAAAAAAGTCTGCTTTAAAATAAACCCTGGTCTTTTGAATGTATTGTTCTTGAAAAAAAAAAAAACAAGGAGGAGATTGGGTGGAAGGGGGATTTTTCCAAAGTTTTTACAAACTAATTTCGAGAGGACCGCATGATATGATTGATTGCGGCTGGTCTCTTATCTGTAATCAGCAAAAATCCAGCCAGATTGATACAAGCCTAAAAAAACAGACTGATTTCCTCCTACTACTTTATCTTCATTTTGGAAGAATCCCTCTTCCTAACTTTTACTTTTTCCTCCTTTTACCAGGGGGAGCTCTCGAGATCTACCCAATCTCGGACCCCCTTATATGCTTATTGAACAGGTGGAAGCCCTAGGCTCAATTATCTCCAAACTCAGGGTTCTCTTCTGGGACAGCATACCAAACCGGCTAAAAGCAGGTTGTAATTATTATTGATTTTTTACAATATTTTGGTTATATTTAATTGCATTATCTTTCCATTTTAAAGATGTTTGTTGACTAAAATATTATTTTTATAAATACATCTGTTTAATAAATCTGTCTTGTTTAAATGCACCAAAAAACATTGCCTATATTCACTGAGAAATTAAAAAAAAAGTTTAGTTTCAAAATGGGGTGCACTCAGTTATGTTGAGCTCTGTACAGTATGTATGTACAGTATGTATGTTTTATCTGTAGTAGGAATATAATGAATATTTCATGAGCACCAAATCAGCATTTTAACAAGATTCCTGAATGATTCAGAATGTCAACTCAGTCATCATAGGAATAAATTGCATTTTTAATATATAATATTATTTTATATTGAAATGATAATTTACAATATTGCTGAACTATTTGAAAATGGTTGTGGAGATTAAAGCGATAATTTGCTTTATGATTACACAATGTGCTACTTATATTCATACAAATATCCCAACTTATTAATGGTGATTATTTATTTATTTTTTTTGTTATATTTTATTTATTAACTTATTTGGTGTCACCAAAAATCATATGCTCCCCAAGTTTTTCAGTTTATATCAAACTATTACATTTTTTATATATTCTATTTTCTTTCACATTGCCTGAGGGTATAACATTGGTGCTGTCCAGGTGAGTGCGTCTGTGTGTCTGATTAATTTCCTCTCCTGAATAGAGAATATCTATTTACACAGGTACCTGCTAATGTATCTTTTGTCATCTCATGCTTTTCATCTTTTCTCAGAAATAATGGAAAGGCGATGCGCCGGATGCTGCGCACTGTTATATAAAACATTATGTCATAATGTCTGCATTATTTTGGACTAGAGACCGCGAAAAAGAAAGAAAGAAAAAGAAATGCTGCGTACAACCAGGCTGCATGGATAATATATGCAGTTAAAGATTGCGAAAATTCAGCTCACGCCAACACTCGTACACTCGAACCCGGTCCTGACACCGTGTTGCGGTTACATAAAGAGTGAGTGTAGCACCTCTCTGAACTCCAGACATGACGTAAGGGCTGTACTGAGAACAGACAGTAGGGGGCTCAGAAAAACACAAACACACAATCAGACAGTCTTGTTCTTTTATAAACATCGAAACACTAAAACACACAAGCACTCATTTACAATAATTCTACCTCGTCTTCCATTCTCGCACTTGCTTATGTATTATTCTACAGCCCACACACACACACACACACACAGTCTACCTATCATCTCCATCCCACACTCTCCCCCACAGTGCAGAAAGAGCCCAACAGAAGCAGTTTCGTTATGTTATGGCTTCCCTCCCTCTGTGTGCTGGACGTTGGTGGCATTTTACTGATAAGTTATCAGCGCTGATGGTGTTATAACCGGGAGTCCAGGCAATTGTGTTTATTTAGCTTTAACAGACACCATTTCTAGCAAGAAATGTCTTAATACTTTTGGCAAAGAAGCTGAAGAGATGTGTGCGCAGGTGTTGAGAGAAATTTAAAAGATGGGAGAAATTAATGTACTAAAAGTAATTACAAGTGGTGCCCATGGTGTGTGTTTGTTAGGGGGTGGTTATGCTTTTTTGCATTTATGAAACATGTACATTTTACATGAATACAGCATTCAAAAGCCATTTATTTTTGAATTAGCCATTTATATCAAAAATATTATAGTCATTTTTTTTTACTTCATTTCTCTAGTCTCTAGTGACCATGCTCCTCATTCAAATATGCAAACCTACTGCTCTGTTATGATCAGTTTTCATTGGTGCTCAATCATTAATGATGGTGTTCATTATTATCAGTGTTTAAATATCATGCAGCACAACTAATTTCAATAATAAGAAATGTTATCATATACTGGAACATAATAAACATGCAACATTATTATAATGATTAAACTTAAAATAAAATCAGTGTTTACAATTGGGATTCTTAACATGTTTCTTAACATGTTTACTTAAAAAATGGACTATATCTGTGCTGTTAAACCTTCTATGGATATTATATTAAAATGCCTTATGATAATATAACATTGTGCCATGGTTTGCAATAATTTAAATTATAACCAGAATAAAATGACACCCGAGGAACTAGCAGCACCATTATTTTCCAGTAGATATCTGTGTGTGAGAGTGTGTGTTAATTCTGCCGAGGATGAGAGGTTACTTTTGACTTGCTCTTGCCACCTGCTGACGTGTGAATGGGATTTTGCTCTGGTGACAGATCCATTCCTCCAGTCTTCCACCTCTCTTCCTTTCTCTCTTGTATTTTCTACCCCTTCTCTTTTTCTGCTGTGTTTTTTTTTTTACATCTTTATTTGTGACCCTCACCCTTGTCGGCAGTGGGAGCAGATTAATCCCAAATAAATACATCTGAATAAGTAATATGCTTGGATCGGACAACTGCAGGATAATTAACCATCCAATTTACCTCAACAAATAAACAGATATGTTAAAACGAAGAGTCGCTCATTTACGGGTCTGTGCTGATGTCATAGTGGCAGTTCACAGATCCTCCTTTTCCTCTGTCGGTGACAGTTTGCTTTAACTATGTCACTTTTGAATATATTTAGCATTTTTAAAAATGATTTCCATTCCCTTTGAAGGAATAATTCAGCATGAAATATTATACTTCACAGGATTCTCTGTTAGAATAGATAAATGAATGAGGAGCGCTGCTGGGATCTCACCCAGACAGCTGTTTGGCTCCATCACAAATGCCATTTGTACAAAATGCCATCATGCATTTGCACAACATTTCTGGATCACCAATTCAAATGCTGGAAAAGAGATTCAAATCCAATACTGAGTCTGTGAGCTGTTTTAGACAAGTGATTTCTTTGACTTTTCCCTGTTTTTGACCTGTTTTTTGATCGACTAAACATTTTAGACAACTCCAGGAACTTCAGGTTTCCCCATGAGGATTCATTTCATGCTGGAAAAACTTGTCAATTTATGTCAAAAGCATAGAGGGAAGCTAACGGCAGAGATCTGTCATAAGAAAATTAACCAAAACGCAATATTCCCCAGTGATCTGCTATTTTAACTGTGGGTTCCTCAGTTGACTGCATCTGCGACAATGCCATTTTTTTTTTAATTATAAAAGATTATGACTCACAGTTGCAACAGTTTTGCTTATCACACTCACTGTACTGGCATTGTGTTAATCTGTCTGTCTTGTCTAATTCTCACTCTTTCTTCTGTGTGTGTGTCTCTCTCCTTTTCTCTCTCTGTTTCTTCTCTGTCTCTTAGGGTTCTAGGGCCAGCAGTAACCTTTCGACTACGACCCAATGCTCGAAACATCAGCACGGCCCAGCTAGCCAGAGTGGCAGGTATTGTACACACATACAAATGCGCGCACACACACGCACACATGCTCACGCACACAATACTCGTTCCGCTACCGCATTCTAGTTGTTATTCCGATCATCTCCTGACACATTGGGGAAGAATCCTCTCATAGTGGCACGACCTTGATTGCAGTATTAGTTATTTTCAAGGTTTAAACCACTGTTTCACAAACACTGTTAACGTAAGCATGCACACAAGCATGCACTATGCAAAAGCAAGAAATCTAACAAAAACAGCTCGAGTTTGTCACTTTTATTATAATGTATATTCAATCCGAAGACTTTGTGAAAACGAAGTGCATTTATGGTATTGCTTTAGTATCAGCGGGAGTGATGTGATACTATTTATTTATTTGTCTGCTGTATTTTTAACTATATAAAATAAACATGTGCAATATTGTTTAAATAGGGGCCAGTATGGTTTGATTAAAAAAAATAGTTATGTTAAGCAGGGCTGCATTAAAATGATGAAAGTGACAATAAAAGAGTATATATATATATATATATATATATATATATATATATATATATATATATATATATATATTTATATAAATACACACACACACACACACACATAGTCTTGTCTGGTTCTCGAATATGATTGGCTTTTAGCCGTGTGATATTCTGCAATAACAGCACTCATACAGCCTCCTCACCCTTCTGTATTACTCCTTTGAGGCTTTTTTACATGAAAATGTAGCTGTTTTAATTGCAACTATGCAGTTTATCTATAAGGATAGTGCCTATTTTTAAATATTTATAAAATCGGAACGAGTCTGCATCCATCTAACATACCAAGCAGAGCAAAGGTGGTTGACTTTCCACCACAAGATGGAGACAGAGACTACATAATAAGTCCCTGTGGTAGAAAAACTCAGCATTTTCTTTTTATATTTCAAAGTACAGCTGATTAAATCATTATAAAACAGGTAAGTGACATTCTAAGTCGATCTCTCTCTTTTGTATGTTGTGCTGTATTTATACCATAGTAATCTGGTAGTGTTTGCTTTGTTTTGGCTTTTTTGGAGTTAATTAATGTGATCTAATTGCAACAGAGAAATACTGGGAGATATCTCTGTAGACAGATGGCATTTCATACCGCTCAGCCAAATAATCTTAAAATGTTAGCAAAATCACCTGTTTTGCCATCACTTTAGACATTACGCAAGAGAATCATTCAAACACTAGTGACGTTGGTGAATGGGCAGTAGTTTCTGCTGTTCTGACGTTAGCAGCAGATGTGAATAAATGGCGGAAGAAAGCAGTTCCTCATACAAAAAGATTTTTAAACCCTCCATGTTTGATTTTCTTTTTTGATACATGATTATGCCATTGAAGTGTTGTATAAATGCATTATCACACTCGTAGCCAGGGCCGTGCACAGGGGGGTGGCCCGGTGGTTTAATTGGAATTAAATAATTTCACGCATTTTAAAAAGCAATTCAACACCAGCCAATAAACATGTACTATACTTTTTGATTCTGATTAAATTAGTTACATTTAGAAATTGCTAAATGGCAGTCCTGCCATACCATTAAAAAAAACCAACATTGCAGTCATGACATTAAGCACATTTAATTCATACTCTTGAACAGAATAGGCTGCAGTCCTGGTTCCTCTTTTCAGTCACTGTTTTAACATTTAACACCCAGGAATTCATATTTGATCTTCAATGCACAAAAGCAAGGGCAAAGAATGAAAGGAAAAACAAAAGGAATCTGATATCATAAGGTCTGTATTCCCTTGATCCGTCATAATTACTTCCAGGGAAAACAGATTCATGTGAATTTGTCCCTCGTCTATCTGTGCTTTCTGACACAAGATACACAAGGGAAGGATTTCACAGGAACCTTCGCAAACTGGAAATACTCAGTTGTTTCAAAAAGAAAGCACACATATGACTGCTAGCTGTTGAAATTGTGTTATAGTTTGAGCTAGTGATTGTGGGCTTTTTGTTTGTTTCTCTTTGTTTATACTGCTGCAGCAAATCATTTTCAATATCGCTCATTGAATTTTTAGCATATGGAGCCAACAAGTCCGCACATGAAGTACATTTAATGACATTTCTTATTTTGCTTTATTTGATTGTTAGTGTTTTGACCTCTGAAGTGTAAGCAGTGGAATTTCAGATGATACAAATGATGCATGTTTGTGTCTGTCTGTTTCTGTGTGTGAATTATCCTTCTCGCTGGACTCTTTTTGAACATCTCGACCTGTTTCTGATTGACTTTGTGGATGTGAGAATGTATGAGAGCATGTTAAAGCCTGCACATTACCGCCTCGACATCTGTGGAAATGCGTTCCAATTTTGTCCAATTGCTGTGGTGTGAATTTCGCCTTTTATTTGTGTACGTGGGTCTGCTTGAGTGTGTATATCTCCAGTCTCTTCCCTTTGAGAGTCTCTTGTAGCATGTTGAGAGAGTTAATGGCTGGGCTCGTCAGACCCAAATGTCAGACAAAATGTTAAGTCAACATGATCAGCCGCTCTCACATGGCAGATAAATTATGAAAACCCTGGTGCCTGAATACCAATTTATTACTTTATTTAAACAGAGAGGATCTCTCCTCACACTTTATTACCCTTGTATACACACCGCTGATCACACCTAATCGCTGATTCCAGTTTTTGTGCCTTTGACATCACATACACCCCTAAGGTATTTAAGCTACTTCACGGTATTTGTGATCAGTGGAAGTGTGGTGAGGATTATGTTTGGGGTGTAGCTCTGCGTTTCTGTGTCCATAATGTGCATCTTGGCTTTGACAAAATTCTTCCTGGAGCAGTGCCTTTAATTCAACGGTTAATTTACCTTAAATTTAAAAATCTGTCATCAATTACTCACCCTCACGTTGTTTTAAACCCACTTCAGATTACTTTTGTTTATCTTTAAATAAAAAAAAACATGCTGATTTTTTTTGTAAAACCTGTGACATTTCTGTGCCATTATTGAAAATCTCTTCACAATCAATTTCACTTCAAGTCTGTATGAATCTGATGTTGCTGAGACTTTTATTTTAGTACATTATGCTGAAGTACTTCCAAATGGAACAGAATATTGATTAAGGAGTGATTCTTTCATTTTGAGCATCGTTCCCTTATAGCAAATTAACTGTAAGAGGGGTGTGGTTAAGAATATTGTTGTTATCATTAGAGAAGGACCATTACTCCAAACATGAAAGCAAATAAATAAATTGTCAGATAAATTGTGCTTTCATATAGCCTTTAAAGACAATCATAAAATAAAATAAAAATATTGATGAGCCAACCAAAGAATCAAAGTGCTCTTTTAGCCTTGAAGGCACACATACCACATTTTTTTTCTCTACACAAGCAGCACGTTATCAACAAATTAATGACTTTAAATGATTTTAAAAAATGCAGATTACAGTATACATATTTTGTTATAAATGTGAACCCCACAAACCTCACAATTGCTGGAAAGATTTAATGTTGTCTTTCATTAATTTTTACTATTTATCAGGGGTTGCCACAGTGGAATTGACCGTTAACTCTTCCAACATACAATTTACACTAAAGTTGCCCTTCCAGGCGCAACCAAGTACTGGAAAACACCCATGCACTCTAGCATTCATAAACACACTCAAACACTACAGCCAACTTTGTTTACTTGATTCACCTATACCGCATGTCTTTGGACTGTGGAGGAAACCAGAGCACTTGGAGGAAACCCACGTGAACACGAGGAGAACATGCAAACTCCACACAGCAATGTCACCTGGTCCTGCTGGGACTCAAACCAGTGACCTTCTTGTTGTGAGGAGTTAGTGCTAACCACTGAGCCACCATGCAGCATGTTGTCTTTCATTCTTATATAAACATTAATCAGTGCATATAATCAAAAGCTCAGCCATACTTGCTTGATGTGTGAGGACAAACCTTATTGGTTCTTATGGAAACTCAAACTGCATAACATGCAAGAATGAACCTCATTGGTTCTTGCTCAGCAACCAAGCATGGTGAGTTTCCACCCAATCTGAACGCTATAAACATTATTCACTGATCAATGTTTTTATGTGAATAAAAACCTAAATATGGCAGCACGGTGGCTCAGTGGTCAGGACTTTTGCCTCACAGCATGGGCTGGGGCCATATTGGCATTCATATGTGGAGTTTGCATGTTCTCCCTGTGTTCACGTGGGTCTTGTCATGGTGCTCCGATTTCCCCCACATTCCAAAGACATGCACTGGGTGAATTGAATAAACTAAATTGGCTGTAATGTATGTAATGTAATGAGTGTTTGTGTGAATGAGTGTGTATGGGTGTTTCCCAGTATTATGTTGTGGCTGGAAGGGCATCCGCTGCATAAAACATATGCTAGAATAGTTGGCGGTTTATTCCATTGTGGCGACCCTTGATAAAACAGAGACCAAACCGAAGGAAAATGAATGAATGAATAAATGAATAAAAACATAAATCTATTAATCATTTTAAAGTGTGTCTCAGTTGAACACTAATGAAATTGTTTTCCTTTTTGGGTGAAGAAACTTTTAATGGAAAAACAGAAATTGTTTTGTTTTTATTTGTTCACTTTGTTTTCCAAAGATGACCTTTTTAATGAATTTGGAACAGCATGGGTGAGTAAATGATATAAATTTGGGGGTGAACCAACCCTTTAACTTCTCAAAGAATGCTCAAAGCTTCTCTTATAAAGTACATTGATTGGGCTAATTTTGTGTTTAGCTAAATATTTAGCAAAAATCTTATTATATGTGCCTTAATAGCCTTGCTTTTTTTTTACAGAATTATACAGAAATTATTGTACCAAAAGCCTTTGGTACAACAGTGCATGTATTCATTCTCTTTTTTTCTGCACAGCTCTAAATGAGAGTGAAAAGCACATGTAATCTTGATCTGAACACATTAGAGAACATTAGATGAGCATGTCAGGCAGGAGTCTTCCTTTATACCTAAAAACCCCAATTCCATTCAGATGCACAAAATTGCGAATGATTTGAT